AGAGCTTGAGTTGTAGGCTGTCTAGGCAATCTGGGCAAAACCTTCTAGAAAGTTTGTGTAGGAATAGTTAAATGAAGAAGTGAACAGGCAAAACCTTCTTGAAGGTTTTACTCCATTAGGGTTAATCACAGACTGAAGTCACCATTGGAACTTTGCTAAAGGGATTGAAGAAAAGATTGGAATCCTCAAAAGGGTTGTGGGTAGAGGAACTTCGAAGTATCCAATGGGCTTATTGAACAAGGATAAGGTCTGAACTAAAGAAACCCATTTCTCTTAATTACAGTTGATATGGGACTAGAAATTCACAAAATCCAACACTTCAATAAAGAAAACAATGAGGAATAGCTCTTGATTACTCTAGATCTGCTGGATGAAAAAAAGGAACAGTCCTAGATCAGGATGGTTGCCTACAAAAGCCAAACTTCCAAGTACTACAATGAAAAATGAAGATCTGGGAGTTCTCTCCAGGAGAGCTGGTGCTAAAAAAGGTGATTATACTGTCTAGAGATCCTAAAGAAGGGAAATTGGGTTCAAATTAGGAAAGCCCCTCTTAGGTTAGCTAGATGGTGAGGTCTGGTACCTATAAGCTTTAAACCTTAGATGGAGTATAGCTAACAAAAGCTTGGAATGCAGAACATTTGAAGCAATATTTCTAGTAATCGTTAGATTATAGAAAAGCTCAAAAAGTACAATAGTCCACCACCTCTTTAAAGGTTCTTTCTTTTCTCCATTTTCTTAGCTAAAGAGTTATTGTAATATTTCTTATATGGGAAGAAGTTTAATAAAATATCATTTCTCTCAAAAAATTTGCAATCTGTAATCATTTTTAACCTTGGGTAAGTTTATATTGGGGAGACCAAGCCTCTATATGAGGCAATTTTATCATAAGGCTGAAAATGGAGGAGTTTCCCAAATGAAAGGTGCCCAGCTTAGGAAAAGGCAGAGAAAGCTTGGGACTTTCCTATCATTGGCAAAAGACCTAGCCTTGCCTGGGCTCACTGGGGATTAACTTGGCTATCTACCAAAAAATACATTAGAAATTACTAAAAACTCAAAGAAATTCTCTCAAAATAGTAGAGAGGAATATTGCTAAGGTTGACAATCTTGCAAGCTGAACTCCCAAACCAAGGCTAGAAAGCCTGGGATAATGACAACAACAGTTGTAAGCCTAAGTATTATATGTATACGAAAAGCATGACTACAAAAGAGTAATAGGAAATGCTAATTCCATTCATATCAAAAGGAGTCGTATTTAAACCAAACGAAAAAGTTGTATCTACAAAGGTTCTAAAACAAGAGAACACAAAAAAAAAAAGAGGAGGTCAAATCTCTTATCAAATCACATCAACCCCACCCTCAACTGACGATCCTAGCCCCTGGTAGAGCTTCCTTCCTCTACTTCACCTTGCCCAGTGGGAGTCTTAGCATCATCCAATTTAATTTTGGAAACATCCAAATTAGGTAACAGTTCCAGGGCTTGGTGGCGAAAGTCCTCAAAACCAGCATCCCAGTAGCTCATACCTATCTGAAAAAACTCAGGCTACATTTGGAATGGAGCCACAACAATAGATTATGTATCCTCGACAAGCTTCTAGGAGCTTTCTAAACGGGTAGATAGCTAGTTAGATAGGTTCTTCACTCTCTCCTTAGTCTTGTTAGCTTGCTTTTTTGCTCACCTAAAACTTCCTACAATCCGATCTTAGCAACCTTGTCCATCACTAAGGAGTTTTTAATATTATCCAGATCAGCACAAAGAGACACTAACTCCTTGTCGCGAGATATAAGCTCCTTCTTAGCATTCAGAGTTTCCTTGAGGGCATCTTTCATCTTTTTCTTCATAGGATTCTCCTCCATATATGCCAAGCAACTTATCCCGATTGCCAGTATTACTTTCATCATGTTCAAGTAGTTTCTTTTTCATATAATTGTGGGAAGGATTCCCAACCCATGAACTAGAATTTTGATTCTAAACTATGGTTTTATTGTTTATGTGATTGTTTGAATCGGTTATGCTTTTGAAAACTTAATTGGTTTGCATACTTCTTGGTTATCTGTATACAATTGGTTTAGGTATAGATAGTTAATGGTGTTTTTTGTAGCATTCAAGATAATGGATCTTTCATCATAAACCCTTTTTCAATTGCTATTTTAATTTATCTCAAAGTTTTTAGTTGAAAATCATCTAGTCATAGTAGTTTGAATACGAAAGTAGATGAGTTATAGATTATGTATGCAAATTTATATTCAAGGGTTGGATGAAATCCGAATATTATTTTTTTCTTTCTTTTATTTAATTTATCTTTGGTTTAACTTAGTTAATTACTACAACTCTCAACTTTCAAAGATCTTTTGATTTTGATTTTTATTTCATTACCTCTCGAATTTGTTCTTCATTTTCCTTGAGGAGACGACCTCAGTAATCGACCGATTTACTATAGGATATATTCCTGTGCTTGGGAACCACATTATCTACCTACTTTTGAGGTCAAGAATTTTTGGTGTTGTTGTCAAGGAAAGCAAGCGTACAAATTTTGAAGGTGATTCAGATTAACGACAGGTAAGTCTTGTAATATTTATCATAAGCTTAGGTAATATTTTCCTTTTTTTGTTGTTTTATAATTTTTTTTCTTTATTTAAATGGTGTCATATGTTTCATCTATGAAATATATTTGTGAGATTTGTACTTAGTATGGGTATATCACTAACGAGTGCCCATTAATTCCAACATTTTGAAGATATTTGAGGGATGAGTCAATTGTATTGCCTAATTCTCAACATCCTTACCCCAACCATTGTTTTGAAATTTCTGATCCCGGTTTTGGTTGGGGAATGAATATTATCAGTCACTGGCACATTCCACACCACCATATGTGCATCTTCAATATCCCTTATACGAAGACCTACTTGAAGAGCAATCAATGATTATATGGAATAATTATGTGCAAACCCAACTTACTATCAATGCCCAAAAAAGCCAAGATATTGAAGAGATAAGAGACATTCTCAACACAATAATCATAGCAGTTGATAAGTTTACCTGAGAACAAGAAATTGAGAACGATCAATATTAGTATTTTTTTAACATTGTTGTGTTACAAGCCCACACAAAAAAAGAAAATGAAAATGGGTATGTGTCGTGTTGCATATTCTATCAGGAGAAGTGGACAGATGATGCGTGTGACTCTCTACCCAACTAGCTGATTGAAAAAAGACTTTCTGAGTAGTGATATGGAGAAGGGAGAGGTTTTCAAACTGTTTGAAATGGCCCAACTTATGTTGATTTGTTAGAATTAAATGGTCAATTTCCCATTTTGTCCCTCTACTCATTTTGATCTGTGAAGCACGAACTGGAGTATCCTTAACCATATCCAATACGTATTGGATACAAATAAGCTTTGGATATGGCCAAGTATGTAGCCAATACGAGAGACGCATCTCTGATGTTTAAAAAATATATTTTAATTATATATACAATTGGAATATATCAAGGATATGTGATCAATACGTGGATGATAGCTTTCAAAAAAAAATATATATGTGGATGATACACGGATATGTCAGGATTTATGATTTTTTTTTTTTGAAGTGGGCCATTGAAATAAGTAATTGAAGTTAATAGAATAAGTATTCCCTAAAATAATAGGGGTGTTCATGTGCAAGAAAAATGGTTGATTACGTATCTGGTATCTATCTCCATGCTTCTTACATTTTGATAAAAGATGTTATTTAATGATATATAAGGGATGAAGCCTTCCTCTCTCTTTCAACATAAGTACTAATCATAGATTATCGTGCATTCGTTATACTGTTTTTCAATCACCAAAGGTCACCACTGAAACAAGGTCATGGTTCTTGTCTTCTTGTTGGAAAATGTTTATTGTCTTTGTCAAAGTTGTTTTATGAATGTTCAATGGGTATTGTCAAGCAAAGTCAATCATTTGAAATTTGCATTTGACACTGCATTTTTATTTTAAGAAATTTACTTAGTTGATAAAAGTTTAAGTAGTTTCCAGAAAGAAGTTTATGGATCACAGTGTAAATTTCATGTTAATTCGATAGATAATGTTTAAATTGATGCTTGTCAACCATTCTCTCACCCACCTTGTTTAATGCTGTTCTATTGAGTAAACTTTTTATTGCATTTGGTTGTTCTCATTTATAATGCTGCACCGTCCATATATTCCACTGTAAGAACATTTTAATTTTTAACTGTACTGGGAGTTTATGGTAAATTTATTTTCTAGGCAATTCTATTTCATTTTGTTGCAGACCAATAGCATAAGCTATCGAGATAAATCATGGGTATCTATCTTACCTTCCGACTTGAAAACCAAGAAGTCACACTCAAAAAATCAGTCGATGGTGTACATGTCAGTTCAACAAGCCAGCAAACCTAAGGTTGCAGTTTCACCTTTAGTACTTGAGGATGTAGAAGAGCCTCCGTTGAACTTGTACAAGCCGAAGGGACCCTACACAGCAACCATTCTCTCTGTTGATAGGCTTGTCGGCCCAAAAGCTCCAGGAGAAACTTGTCATATTGTGATTGATCATGGTGGCAATGTTCCTTATTGGGAAGGTCAAAGTTACGGCGTAATTCCTCCTGTAAGATTGAAGTTCTATGTTTTAGGCTTTATCTTCATTACCTATGATTTCAGAAATCACCAAGGACTTCTTATGCTTTTCAGATTAGTACGAATGATGAGCTACATTCCTACATCATACATGGAAAACAATTTCTCAACTTCCCTTCCTACTAGCTTGCCACTGGATCTTTATTAGGAGCAAGGATCAAAATTTTGTTTCGGTGTACTGTTTCTGTCACCTGAGACACGGAAATGTTTCGACGTATTTCGGAAAATTTTTGTCCTATTTGAAAACAGAATAAAAAAATAAAAAAATTTAAAATTATTTTTTAAAAATATTGATCGAAATATACCAAAATATCTTGAAATATCTTGAAACAATTCGAAATAATTGTGCAAATGAATTGTTATATAACAAAACATTTTGAAACATTATGGAACACCTCGAAGTATTAAAATTTCGATTCCATCATTGATTCATTTCGGTCTCCTTAGAAACGGAAACGTTTCAAATGTTTCAACCATGGGTAGCTGGCAAAGTTTGATACTTAAAATTTCTGGATACCTCAATTTTGAAGTCTCATCTAATATGTTGGTCTCAACCCATGCCTCTGAGTAGCACGTAGTTTTGGTTGTATTTTCTGCATGCTGTGTAGCTGACTTTGACTAATCAGAATTATTAGATTCACATTATTTGTTGACTAATCAGAATTGTTAAATTCAAATTGCTAGTATGATGAAACTCTCTATATGAAGCCTTCGATATTTTGAGTTTCTTGTTGGCCATCTGTGCTGGGAAAATAGGTGATGGTCTGAATTACTAGAATCAGGCTATTTTAAATCTATCTTTATTTGAGTTCCTATCCAATGGTGGGTCTCAGTACCATGTTTCTGAGTAATATGTAATTGCCTTTGTTCTGGGCATGATATAGTGATAGAACAGTAGTTAGCCTTGGCCCTGAGTTTCTTAGTTCTTGTTTTCTTGAATTCCAGGGTGAGAACCCAAAGAAACCAGGAACTCCCAACAATGTTCGTCTTTACTCAATTGCATCTACCAGGTATGGAGACTTTTTTGATGGCAAGACAGCCAGTTTGTGCGTTCGGCGTGCTGTCTACTATGATCCCGAGACAGGGGAAGAAGATCCTTCAAAGAAAGGAGTATGCAGCAATTTCCTATGTGATTCGAAGCCTGGGGACAAGATACAGATCACAGGTAAGAACCTTCCTTGTTGTGAAACCGAATTTAAATATCCTATTACTGGAGTCCCTCTTCCTAATAATTATAAATTTACTAGAACTTGTTGAAGTATTGTGTCTTGCATCTGAGACAAGCCCCATTAATAAAAACTATACTGTGCCAGGTTATACTGGTCTCTGAGTCCTGGAAATCACATGTATCAACTTGTTGGAATCAGTTAAATTACTGTGCCATGCATGTTATTTGAAAGACTGATTCAGTGATGATGACAATAACCATCAGTTTGGGTTCACCACTGTAGAAGCACCTTATTAACAACTCAACCAATACAGAATTGCACAGTGAATCCATAATTTGGGTAGCTTGGCATGCAAGAGGAAGTGTTCTGAATTATTATATTCCCCCTTCTGGTTGTTTCATGAGTGTAGGAGGTGGTAACTCTTTTGAATTGGAAGGATGCAAAATAGAGATATCATACATATTTTATTAGTGTTTTCTTCAAGAAACGGAAGATGGGTTAGCAGTGTATTTTTTGTATTGTTTTTTGTTAGGGTTGCTTTAGGTTTGAAGAAAGCCTGCTCAGTCGGTTAGTCCTTGTATGCCTATGTATAGTGTGGAGTCAGTGTGTGGGTGAGGCATATGCTACTTAAATGATGCCACTGGCAGATCAAGTGGACTGAACTGTATTTACAAATGGGTTTTTGAATCCGTGTGCAACACAGGGTGGGTGATTACTCTCAAAAGAAATGAAGAAACTATTGAAGAGGAGTTAAAACAGAAAACCAAATATGAAGTACATAGTTCTTATACAATTTCTGTGGTTTTTTTCTTGGTTAGAGACTTGTGGTTAATCTTAGCATTGTTAAAAAAAAAAAAAAAAAATCTTAGCATTGCTGACTTGTCTGTCGATCATTTCTCTCTGTGAACTGGTACCAACTGAATCACGTATGTTGCTTCATATGTCCATCCTCTCTCGTTTTCATATCACTGGTTGGTTTGGGTCTCAAAATAAGTTGGCCTAAGCGACCTAATTAGATAACTGTTCTATTTTTCTTTGCAAGCATAGTTGGGATGATCTATTTGGCTTGGTTTCTTCAGTTTAGTTTTATTCTTGAGATGAAGGTTTGGATGAAGGTTCAGTGTCCTTTTCTCGATGTTGTTAATTTGGGACTATTTTGGCAGGTCCTTCGGGCAAAATAATGCTTTTGCCTGAAGATGATCCAAACGCCACCCACATAATGATTGCTACTGGTACTGGTGTGGCACCTTTCAGAGGCTACCTTCGACGTATGTTCATGGAAAATGTTCCTACATTCAAGTTTGGTGGTCTCGCTTGGCTCTTCCTTGGGGTGGCCAACACCGACAGTCTCCTATATGATGATGAGTTCACCAAGTATCTCCAAGAATACCCAGATAACTTCCGATATGACCGCGCTCTTAGCCGAGAACAAAAGAACCAGAGTGGAGGCAAGATGTACGTGCAGGATAAAATTGAAGAATACAGTGATGAGGTCTTCAAACTCTTGGATAATGGGGCCCATATTTACTTCTGTGGTCTCAAGGGAATGATGCCCGGGATCCAAGATACACTAAAGAGGGTTGCAGAGCAGAGAGGAGAGAACTGGGAAGAAAAGCTCTCACAACTCAAAAAGAACAAACAATGGCATGTTGAAGTCTATTGATGTTGCATATACTTCAAAGCCTGTTCATTCCTGACTTTAAGGAAATGGTACATTCTTCCAGTTAGGTAATGTGGCTTTTTAATTTGAATTACAGTCTACATTTATATGTGCTGTTTGTTGATGAAGATGACTAATTGTTCTATTGTCCAACACAAATTAACGTTGCGCTTGGAAGCGCCTCTAAATGAATTTTCAGTCCTAAAAGGCCATTTGAAAAAGCCAAATTTGTTTGATAAGAGTAACTCTAATCAGGTTGTCAAATCTCGGCTGAACAACTTTAACGTCTCTTTTTGACATCTTTTTCCTCCTCTGATGGTTGCAACATCTCTCTTTATGTCTTATTTACAAGCACGACATGTACATTGGAAAGAAGAAGGAGATGGAACTTCTTCATCTCCAGTATGAGCTGAGTAGATTCTGCAACTCCAGCACTTTACCGGTGCCATTGACACAGCTTCTAAATCTGACGCCTCCATTGCTGACACTGCCTTCAATCTTGAGAAAATCGATGGACAAAGACTCATCCCTTGGTGTCGAGAATGTCGACAGTAGGATTTAGGTGTTCTCCATGATAGTGTGAAAATGGGTATTGCGGGAAACTTAAGATGAGTGTGAGAGCCAGTTGTTTGGATAGACGTGGAGGATTCATCGGCCATGGAAAAAGATAGGGAGAGAGACGATTCGGGGCCGTGGAAAAAGAAATTGGGTAGAGCTATTGTCGTCCCACAAATACTCTTTCTCACACTTTTAAAATTTTTACAATCAAACTATTAATAACTTGTTTGGTAATGTTTATGGTTTTTCATTTTCTAAAAAACGAAAAACAAAATCAAAAAATAAAAACATCTTTTTCTTGTTTTGAAAATCGCTCCTCGTTTACAAAACGATGATAGAAAAAAAAAATAAAAACAATTATCAAACTGAGTTTTTTTTTTTATTTTCTCTAAATATCAAAATAAAAATGAAAAACAAAAAATATAAACGTTACGAAACGGGAAATAAGGTTACCGTTTTTATATATAACGGGTTATAGATATTTATAATTCTTTGATCAAATTACCAAATAACCAATCAACTGACCAATTGATTAATTAAACTATTCAAAAAATTTAAAGTCCTGTGGGCATGCATGTAGCAAGGGTTGAATCATGATGTAAGAAATTACCTTAACTAATGTAGCAGAAACACTGCACTGCTAGTCTGTTACAAACTTTTGCGCCTTGCTAGGAGATAGCCATAGTTTTTTTAACCCAAATGGGTATAATAAATTAGATGGATAAAAATAAAATTCATCTGGGTCATCGGGTCAATTCGTAAATATTTAAGAGGAGTCAATTTTTTTTTTATTATTATTAACTTTTAAGACTTTCCTAATAGGACTAGATCACAATAAATATGTTATAGATATTTCCTATTTAATGAAGAACTAAATTTGGTAGGTCTTCTAATTAATTTTGAGCATCTTTGTCTTGTGACCTTTAGATCATGATCTAACGATCTACATAAAAAATACCCACTAAAAACTACATCCATATATATATATATATATATATATATATATATATATATATATATATATATATATGCAAATACGAAGAGAGATGAAACCCTTATAAGCAAGAAGTTAATGCTAGTCCCGACTTCCAAGGCCTTCAAAATTGAGTGAAGGTATACTTTGATCAATTCAGAGCTAATCACCTCTTTAGTTAGAGCAACTTCAAGGGGCATGGTATCAGAGGTAGTAATTTCATAACTGGCAAAATACCACCTTAAATTTAAAAAATTGGACTTCAATGGAGGTGACATAAGGAGTTAAAAAATGGCATCAATAGTCTTGAGGTGACAATTTTAGCAACTCTGGAGAGAGAAAGGGAGAGGTTGCAAATTCTACTGTTCAATCTCAACGGCTCTATTTAACAAAAAATTTCTATAAATATAGAGATTTTGAAAAGAAAACTTACCAAAGTTCCCTACTCTTGATTTTTCTTTAATCGTTAGAAAAATGCGCAAAGGCGTTCTGGAAATCACAGAGGGAAGGGGTAGGAGGCATTCTGAGAATCGTTTGTCGTTGTTGTTGCCTGAAAATTGCTTGCCGTTGTCGTTGCCTGAAAATCACGCTTTCCTAGTATCTGTAGTTTTTTCATCCCAAAAACGTGATGGTCTAGACATGATTGCAAAATGGGCTTGAAGTACCCCAAATGCCGCTCTACATCTTTTCTTGCTCACTCTTGTGCTTTAGCAAAATATTTTTTTTTCAAACCTTGTGGATAGGGAATTGTTTTTACAAATGTCGATTAGTTTGGATAAATACCATTAACTAGATTATATTTTATTGTATACTCACGACCATTAATTATATAGTTTACTGGAGGAGCATAACCATTTGCTAATAATGCAAAAACAAAGGACCTATCTAGAACATTTATGTCATTCAACGAACCAGGAAGCCCAAAGAATGCATGTCATATCCAAAGATTTTGAGAAGCTACAGCTTTCAAAATGATTGTTGGTTTGTGACAATGACCAGAAAGGGGAGGTTGCAAATTCTACTGTTCAATCTCAATGGCTCTATTTAACAAAAAATTTCTATAAATATAGAGATTTTGAAAAGAAAACTTACCAAAGTTCCCTACTCTTGATTTTTCTTTAATCGTTAGAAAAAGGCGCAGAGGCGTTCTGAAAATCACAGAGGGAAGGGGTAGGAGGCATTCTGAGAATCGTTTGTCGTTGTTGTTGCCTGAAAATTGCTTGTCGTTGTCAATGCCTGAAAATCACGCTTTCATAATATCTGTAGTTTTTTCATCCCAAAAACGTGATGGTCCAGACATGATTGCAAAATGGGCTTGAAGTACCCCAAATGCCGCTCTACATCTTTTCTTGCTCACTCTTGTGCTTTAGCAAAATATTTTTTTTTCAAACCTTGTGGATAGGGAATTGTTTTTACAAATGTCGATTAGTTTGGATAAATACCATCAGCTAGATTATATTCCATTGTATACTCACGGCCATTAATTATATAGTTTACTGGAGGAGTATAACCATTTGCTAATAATGCAAAAACAAAAGACCTATCTAGAACATTTATGTCATTTAACGAACCAGGAAGCCCAAAGAATGCATGTCATATCCAAAGATTTTGAGAAGCTACAGCTTCCAAAATGATTGTTGGTTTGTGACAATGACCAGTATACATACTTTGTCATGCGGTCAAACAATTTTTTCACTTCCAATTCATGTAATCAATACTCTCAAACATGTCAGGAAAGCCACGTTGTTCCTCCGTCTGCAACAATCGAGCAATATCGCTATTGTTTGGTGACCTTAGGTAATGATCGTCAAACACTGTAATAACTTCTTTCACAAACCTTCTCAGACTCTGTATGACAATGTTTTCTTCAATTTTGATGTATTCATCCACAGAATCTGGCGGTGTTTCATAAGCAAGAATTCTATAAGCAGTTGTTATCTTATGAAGGGATGACAAACTGAGAATTCCAACGACATCTGTTGTTTGGACAGTATGGATCATGTTGTTCAACTTCATTTACAATTCATAGAAAAAGAGGACGACTCATTTGGAACCTCCTTCGAAAAAAACCTTCATATATACAAGGGGGTAGCAAAATAGTCACGGTAGAGTTTTTTGTGACCTTCAACTCTACCACGATTAATTATTCTGTGGCCTGGAATGGAACCACGATGCTTTCTTATTCGTCCCTGACTAGACCCTTCTGACCTTCTAGTTGCAGCATACAACATATCAAATTCATCATTATTCTTTTTCCTCAATAATGAGGATCTCTCCTAAAATATTAAGATAACGATTCATATAGATTGATGAATGAAAATATGAAAGGATAAATAGTTAAAGAGAAAAGAGATATTGAGTTTATGGAGAGAAAGTAATATAAATGGACGAAAATATGAGAAAAATGATCATATTTATAGATGCATTATACTTTTTTGAATTTTTATTTTGACAATTAAATTTTCAAATTTGAATTTCAACGGTTGAATTTTGAAATTTGAATTTCGGCGCACAAAATTTGAAATTTAAAATTTTTACTATAAAAATATATCTGTTAAATTGCGATCGTTATGAAAATTATACTCGTTAAAATATAATCGTTAATTTTAATTAAAAATATTAAAATATTAAAGTGACACCCTATTTTGACACTTGTCATTAGAGTAGATTTATAATTTAGAAATACCAAAACACTGTTCAAGATTTCATATGAGTGATTTGGCACCCCAAAATGGCAACTCCCTTTGGAGTTGCTCTTCGACAGTGCATTCACTTGCACACATGGCTAGTTTCTAATGAAATCTCTAATATATAACATGGTAGGTTTTAATAAATTCATTTAACGGTCTTAAATAAACTTATCAAATAGTTACCAATATCTCTCTCAAACAATTCAAATTATATCGTACTTTTAGACACAGATTACTCCTAGTTAACTCAGGTACAAGTACTTAACATTATTGTATTAGAGCAATGCTATGTAATTCAAATATGCAATCCAAATTTTTATCACAAATGAAGCAGACCATTGGATCAGTGGATCCTATTTAAAAAAATTGATGTGACTCACTCATCCAATAGTCCCCTTTTATTTAGGATGAAAAATTTGGGTTGCAAATTTGAGTTACATAACATTTTCCTTTGAATTATACTAGAACCCATGCATTATTTGATTTCTTGTTATTTTTGAGTAGTTTTTTTTTTTAATGATATCAATAATTCACCTTCAAAAAATATTGTACCACCTAATTTGGATTTTAAGTAACTTTTGTATGATATTATTAAAGGAATTTTTTAATTAGTTCAATATGTTGAGGTAGTTTATCTTGAATGTTAAATAACATATAAGTAGATGATATTTTGTACTTTTAAAACTATTACCATTAAACATACTTTTATATATAAATGCACTTATCAATTAGAAGTATTTATTATTCAAACATCTATTAGTCATTGAAAGTTCATCTTGTAA